GAGTGAAGATATGGTTGTGACAGCAGATGACAGACAGAATGATATGTACATACATAGACAGATGGGGTAAAATTTATTTCCCTTGTCTTCTCTGATAAAGGCAGAGCTTAAGAGTACCTTAGGAAAAGACTAAAGTTAGTGGTTTTCCACAAAGGAAAAAACTTTGAAATGTGAAATCATTGAGCACATGTTTAAAGATTCCAAATATACTCTTTCTGCCTTAGAGGAGGAATTCCACTGTTGTTTTTTTTTTTTTTTTTTTTTTGAGACAAGGTCTCCCTCTGTCACCCAGTCTGGAGTGTATTGGTGTGACCATGGCGCTTGCTGCAGCCTCGACCTCCCAGGCTCAAGTGATCCTTCTACCTCAGTCTCCCAAGTAGCTGAGACTACAGGCGTGTGCCACAACGCCCAGCTAATTTTTGTATTTTTTGTAGAGATGGGATTTTGCCATGTTGCCCAGCCTGGTCTTGAACTCCTGGGCTCCAGCAATCTGCCCGCCTCAACCTCCCAAAGTGCTGAGATTACATGCGTGAGTCACCTTTCCAGGGCTAAGTCCATTCTTAAGTGGCCTGGAGAGCCCTGGACCCTGTCATTAATGCTAGGTGCAGGTAAGTGGCCAAGTTTGAAGCCATGACTGGCCTTACACCAGTTTCCTCCCACTTTTTTCCTTCCTTCTCTCGCTTTGGGCATTTTATATGATTCCATTTCCTTTTTCTTTCTTAGCATAATAATTATACTTGTTTTTTAAAGTTTAATGGTTACTCTACAGTTTTCAATATGCATTTTAAACGTATCTGAACCTACCTTCATATAACACTATGCCACTTCACATGTGGTGCCTTACAACAGAATGTTTCCAGTTCTTCCCTCTCAGCCCTTATGACATTGCTGTCATTCATTTCACTTATCAATAGGTTATAATTACCAAACACATTACCACTTTATTAAACAGTTGTCTTTTAGAACAACTAAGAATGAGAAAAATTGTCGAGCATGGTGGCTCATGCCTGTAGTCCCAGCACTTTGGGAAGCCAAGGCGGACAGATCAACTGAGGTCAAGAGTTGGAGACCAGCCTGGCCAATATGGTGAAACCCCATCTCTACTAAAAATACAAAAATTAGCCAGGTGTGGTGGTGGACACCTGTAATCCCAGCTACTCAAGAGACTGAAGCAGGAGGATCACTTGAACCCAGGAGGCAGAGGTTGCAGTGAGTCGAGATTGTACCACTGCACTCCAGCCTGGGTGACAACAGCGAAACTCCGTCTCAAAAAAAAAAAAAAGAAAAGGAAAAAGAATGACAAAATATTTTACTTTCATTTATGCCTTTTTAAAGGTCCTTCCTTTCTTTGTGTAGACCTGAGTTTCTGATCTATATCATTTTCCTTCTCCCTGAAGAACTCTAAACATTTTTTGCAGGGCGAGGCCACTAGCAATTGATTCCCTCTGTTTTTGTTTTTCTGACAATGATTTTGTTTCTCCTTTACTTTTGAAGGGTCATTTCCCTAAATATAGAATTCTAGTTGGTAGTTATTCTTGCAACACTTTAAATACCGTACTCTGCTGTCTTTCTTGTGTGGCTTCTAATTTAAAAATCTGCTACAACTCTTATCCTTGTTTCTCTCTATCTTAGGTACTTCCCCCCTCTGGATTCTTCCGAGGTTTTGTCTTTGGTTTTTTGCAGCTGGAATATGATATGCCCAGAAGTTGGGGGTTTTTCAGTTGTTTTGTTTCTTTTGGTATTTATCTTGCTTAATGTTCTCCTAACTTCCTGGATCTGTGGTTTTGTATCTGACATTAATTTTGAAAAGTTCTAGGCCTTTTTTTTTTTTTTCTTTTTTTTTGAGATAGGGTCTCACTCTGTTGAGTGAGACTCCAGCCCAGGCTGGAGTGCAGCGGTGCGATCTTGGCTCACTGTAACCTGCACCACCTGAGCTCAAGTGATGCTCCCTCCTCAGCCTCACAAGTAGCTGGGACCACAGGGCATGCCACTATGCCCGGCTAAGTTTTTATATTTTTAGTGGAGATGGGGTTTGAGCATGTAACCCAGGCTGGTCTTGAACTCTGAGCTCAAGTGATCCACCCATCTCAGCCTCCCAAAGTGCTGGGATTACATATTAATCATAGTTTTAAAACATTTCCTGTCCAATAACTTCAATATCTGTGTCATATTTCAATCTATTTCTGATGCTTGTTTCTTGGGACTGTTTTTTCTTCCCTTTTAGCATTCCTTGTAATTTTTTTTTTTGTGGTTCAAAGCTAAAAATTATGTAACAAATAATATGGACTGAGGTAAACAGGTCTCTAGTGTGACATTTTATACGAATTTGGCTAGGAATCGGGCTGTGTTTAACATTTGGTATAGCTGTTGGTGCCAGAGCCTTCAAATTCCTTCTAGTTCCCTGTCTTTGTTTCCACTGTTGACTGGGCTCAGGGCAGCCTAAGAGAGGCTTCTCAGAGAGGTTTTGCATCTTGCCGCTGTTTCAGCTGTAATTCATTAGTATTATGTAGGACACTTGGTGTGGGGGTAAGGCATGGAGAAGGAGAAACAATTTATAATTCTGTGATTTTCAGTTTTTTGTATGTCCCAATGCTGTGACATTCACAGGAGTTTCTTAGCTTTCCATCTCCCTTAGATAAGACAGGAAGGCTTAAAGGGGCTGCACTGGGAAAAATGTTCTTCCCTCACGTGGCACAAAGCTCTGGTAAAGGATTTTTCTCTAAATAGTAGGCCTGCGGTATGGAGAACAAATATGCTCTGGGCATATTTCATGATGATTCATCTTCCCCCACGCCTGCCAGAGCCAAGAGGGGATCTTCGTTGGCTCTTCACCCTAAGAACCTGATGAGGTTCCTGGTGGTAAATCCCACCAAAGTGTGAGTGACTTTATAACCCCGGCCCCCAAGAGTTTCTCACTCTCATGCTAGTCCACATTCAGCCTCCAACAATCTATTAACATTAACGTTTAAGCATTCCTACCAGTTCCTACTCCAGGGGTTTCTGCTGCAATAAGCAGACACGGCTGTAGTTTTATGGATTCACCTCTCTCTCCAGATTTGAGGGTGGTCGTTTGCCCCGTGACTTTAGTTCTCTGACGGATCTAAGAAAACTCATTAATTTTTCAATTGTGCAGCTTTTTCTTGTTGTAAGTACAGGAGTAATGACTTCCAGGCTCTTAACCTGTCAGAGCTAAAACCCTACATTAGTATTTTTAACAATTAACAGCCAACTGGAATGCCCCCTTTTCTGCAACAACAGAAGTTGTTCACACTGTATAACAGAAATCTTCAGGCACAGGGCCCATGCAGCTTCTCATATCTCATCGCTTCCAAAGGTCAGACTGTTTTCTCTGTCTTCTCCACCTGTAGAGGCTGTTTTTGTTAATGTGATCCTTCTTTCTCAATTTCTAACAGATTAACTCCAAGGGGTTCAGTCCATTGTGTTATGCTCTTAATGCAGAACATATGGTGTCTTTTTTACACATTTGAAATGCGGTTTTTCTTGTTCGTTTTTACAGACCAACCCTTCTTTCTCAGATCATTGGTAATGATAGACTTTTTATCCACTTATCTTATTCATTTCTGTGTTCATTTATTCCCCCACTCTTTGTTGCTTATTTCTCAAATGCAAAATGCTCTTCTCTATCCCTCCAAGACATAAAGCCCACAATTCCCTGGCATTCCAGGTGGGGAGATGTATGTGAATGACTCTATTACAGAGCAGCTTATGACATTGAGAAACAGGATGATTTTGGAATACAGTAGGAGATGAGATTGGATTCATCTCAGGTGACCAGGGCATCATGAAGGACTGGCTTTCACATTTGATGTTGAGAGCTGTATTAGCCAGAGCCCAGGTGGGAAACAGACACACTCAAGTGAGGCAATTGAGTAAACTTTAATAAAGGGATTACTGACAGAAGTGAGGAAAAGTCTAAGCGCACCCAACTGACATGGTTTGGCTCTGTGTCCCCACCCAAATCTCATCTCAAATTGTAACCCCCACGTGTTGAGGGAAGGACCTGATGGGAGGTGACTGGATCATGAAGGCATTTTCCCCCATGCTATTCTTGTGATAATGAATGAGTTCCCAGGAGAGCTGAGGGTTTTAAAGTGTGGCACTTCCTTGCTCTCGCTCTCTCTCCTACTGCCATGTAAGATGTGCCATACTTCCCCTTTGCCTTCCACCATTACCATAAGTTTCCTGAGGCCTCCCCAGTGATGCAGAATTGACTTAATTAAACATCCTTTGTTTATAAATTACCCAGTCTCAGGTAGTATCTTTATAGCAGAGTGAAAATGGACTACTACACCAACAAAAGGTGGCAGTGCCTCTCAAATTTAGCAGCAGTAAAGGAACTGTTACTATAGTGAGGCCTGAACAGGAAAACAAGAGAGTATAGTTACCAGAACTCATCAAGAGTGATGGGAATTGCACTTCTAGAAAACATCCATGTGTCAGGAGCTGTAGATTTTGGTAGAGAACTGCAGCCACTGCTAACCTAAGGTTCGGCAGGAAAATAACAGGGGAGATAAACGCTCTGAACCCACTCTCTTCCTGCTTTCTGATTTCCTGTTAGTCTTTTCCAATGACTGAGCTCAAGTGAAGTCAGAGGGCAAGCCTACAGAGGTCAGCTTCCTGGGAAACAAAGGAGCCTGGGGAGAGGTGAAAAGTGTATCTGAAGGAGCAAATGAGGGATACCCAGTCAAAAAGGATTCTGCATTTCTGGAATCTGAGATGAAGGATCTGACAGGATACTGACAGCCACAAGTCTGTGATTTGTGGGACTTAGAGGTGAGAGTTAGAGAAAAAATATATCCGAAACTGAGCCATTTATATTCCCACATCCTGACACTCTCCACACAGTCACCTGGACCCTCACCTCTAGGGAATGATTTCTGAAGCAGTATAAATACTTACAATAGTTGCTATTTTTTTAAACAGATTTCAGTGAAGGAAAAGTGAAACTGGTGGCAAAGACTCACTTTTCTCTCTTACAGCCTTCTAGCAGCAGGAGGAGGAAACCGTCGAACTGCCAATGTGGTGGCCCATGGGTTTGCCAATCTTTTAACTCTAGACAAAAAGACCCTTCAAGAAATTCTAGTGCATTATCCAGATTCTGAAAGGATCCTCATGAAGAAAGCCAGGTACATCCTTTAAAACCCCGTTAGAGATGAATGGAGTTGGTTTTACTTTGTAAACTCTGAAATAGGAAGAACCGTATTATGATTGTGATAAACTTGATCACAGTGAGATAGGCTTAATAAACAACTATTAATGTAGGTACCCATTGAAACTACACAGGTTAGGATAAATTGCAGTTTTTCTGGTAGATTTTGCCAGAACTCTCACAGAGTTACCTAAAACAGCTTTTCTCTGCTACCCCCAGAGTGCTTTTAAAGCAGAAGGCTAAGACTGCAGAAGCAACCCCTCCAAGAAAAGATCTTGCCTTCCTCTTCCCACCAAAAGAAGAGACACCCAAACTGTTTAAAACTCTCCTAGGAGGCAAAGGAAAAGCGAGTCTTGCAAGACTACTCAAATTGAAACAAGAACAAGCAGCTCAGGTAATAAGGTGGAGTGAATGGAGGGCTGTCATGGAGAAGGCTCCAGTCTAAGTATATCCACACAAACGCCTACTCTAATTCCATTTCAGACAATGGGATGATTTGGACTAATATAATACTAATAATTCCTGCTTTATATATAGCACATTATTATTTAAACTGCTGAATTCCCACATATCATCACATTTAACCCTCACAGGATGTTTATAGACGGCCTTAATATACATGTATTTATAAAGAGTATACCCTCATTATTCATAGATTATTTGCAGATTCTATGTTGGTGCATCTACCTACTATAATTTATTAGTAACTTAAAATCAATACTTATGGTGCTTGTGTGGTTATTTGTGGACAAGAACATGTGCAGGGTGGCAAAAAAATTAAGTTGCTTAATGCATACGTTTTCAGCTGAGGTTGAACAAAGAGGCACTCTACTTTCTTGTTTCAGCTCTCATAGTATAAATGAGTGACCCTTGGCTGGGCGTGGTGGCTCACGCCTGTAATCCCAGCACTTTGGGAGGCCAAGGCAAGCAAATCACGAGATCAGGAGATCGAGACCATTCTGGCTAACATGGTGAAACCCTGTCTCTACTGAAAACACAAAAAATTAGCTGGGCACGGTGGCATGCACCTGTAGTCCCAGCTACTTGGGAGGCTGAGGCAAGAGAATCGCTTGAACCTGGGAGGCAGAGGTTGTAGTGAGCCGAGATCACACCACTGCACTCCAGTCTTGGCGACAGAGCAGGAATCTGTCTCAACACACAAACAAACAGACAAACAAACAAACAACAAAAACAACAAAGAGTGACCCTTTTGGGGCCATGGGTTCCACATTTTTGTGCTTTTTGCATGTGTGTGATTTGCTGTTTAAAATAGCCCCCAAGCATAGTCCTGAAATACTGTCTAGTGCTTCTAAGTGCCAAAGTGCTGTGATGTGCCTTCCAGAGAAAATATGTGTGTTAGATAAACTTCATTCAGGCATTACAGTGCTGCTTCCACGAGTTCAATATAATGAATCAATAATACCTCAAATTAATCAATTGATCAAATTAAACAGGGTATCTCTAAACAAAAACACACATGAAACAAAGTTATATATTGACCAGTTGACAAAAGTATTATGGTTTGAACCATAATATCTCATAGGAACCTAATGCTGTATTTCCCCCAGGAGCAATGGTTCAGTACTTTCTCACTTGCTGTTTGTTGAAACTTTGTAGAACAAAACTACATGAATAATAGAATCAACTGTATATATACAGACATACATATGGATATATAAATAAATAACCTATTTTATCAACATTTTCACAAATATTCAATGTTCTTTTTTTTTTTTTTTTTGTTTCTGTATTTATTTCATTCTCATAATTAGTCTATGAGGGCAGATACTGAGAAACAGACCAGGGATTCAGGTTTTCTGAACCTAGTCATTATGTTATCTCTAAAACTGTAGAAAATGGGTAGCTGTGGACCTTTTAGAAAATGAGTAAAGCACATATTATAAACTCAGTCACATACAAAAGATGAAAACTTGCCTTTTCCCTTTCTACACATAAAACACTGTGGTGAAAATTAGGGATCCAATATAAATCAAATGCTTCATTTGCATCAGCATAGAAATAGTAATTTACATAAAAAATGTATGGGAGTAAAGAAATATATAAGTAAATGTGTTAAGAATCTCAACTTTATCTGTGCACATTCATATCTTGGGCAAGCGTTTCTCAAATTGATCCCAACCAACCATTACCAATAAAGAGCATAGTGTACCTTTGCTATGAAATTTCTATAGCTAGTGCTAAACACAATAGGTTCAAACATGACAGGTCAAGCACCTGTGGGACAAATGGAAAAGATTATACTAGGAAAGGGATAAGTTTCTCCCTGAGTTTCTCCCATGAGCTTAGGCAAGAGGAAACCCTACTTTCTACAGTACTTTTATATGGTAGTGGTTAATACTTTTTTATTAAAAATAAATATTTAAACTTTTATCTCTACAGAATAAGTAAATATTTAAAAAGCAAAAACAGAGTCCTGAGCACTGAGTCTAATAATTTGGAGAGTATAAGGACCAATAGGAAGAGAATTCCTTAGCAGAGACCAAAAAAATGCAATTCAGACTAACGTCATGAGTCAGAGGCAACAGATCTATTCTCTAACACACCAGAAACTTAGTCAAATGATAGTTAGAAGCAAAGCAGACATGATTCCTGGATTCACTTAATTCAGACAGTCTGTCTTGGTGGTGATCTTAGCCATTGCATGCTAATCAAAATCCAATCCAATGTTTTTAATTATGATTTCAACACCAGTTACTTGTAATTGCTCTTTCCAGAAAAAAGAAAATTCTGAAGGAGAGGAAGAAGGAAAAGAAAATGAAGATAAACAAAAAGAAAACGAAGATAAAGGAAAAGAAAATGAAGATAAACAAAAAGAAAATGAAGATAAAGATAAAGGAAGAGAGCCAGAAGAGAAGCCACTGGACAGACCTGAATGTACAGCAAGTCCTATTGCAGTGGAGGAAGAGACCCAGTCAGTTAGGACAGTTTTACCCAGAGGAACTTCCCGTCAATCACTCATCATCAGCATGGCTCCTTCTGCTGAGGGTGGAGAAGAGGTTCTTACTATTGAAGTCAAAGAAAAGGCTAAGCAATAAATGTTTGATTATCTTTAGATGTGATATAGCTAGTTCCCAAAGAGATTGTACCTAGGATTGTAACTTAAATTAATGAGGGGAAATGACCTGCTGGGACCCTTGAGAAATGAAAGGCAAATCCCTAGCTTAGTTTCTAGGACTTATCTGAGAGTGTGATTTCATGCAGTGGTAATAAGAAGATTATTAAAAGCCATCCCTATTCTCTGTTTTCATTAACTTTATGCAATTGCTATATCTTCTAATTGTATGTAGTAAGTTTCCTTTTCCTTTGGTTCTTTCCCGATAATGTTTCTTCCTCCCAGTTTTATTAACTTGCTCTTGGCTGTGATGTGATTCACTAACCTTTTTCTCTTAATTTTTATTGTGTTTAATTTCTTGTATGGCACTCTTAAGCCTGGCTAATTGTTCTAGGTTTATAAATTTCACCTCTTACATGTAAGGGATATAAGCCTTTAATGTAATAGGTCAAAAATCAGATTATTTTCATTCAAATGAGGTTGATGAGTCACTGTAATATCAAAAAATCCCCAGCAGCTGGGACTGAAGGGAAGCAGAGATCATGAAGCCTTCTGAATGAGAAGTCTAATTTTTGGAACAGTCCCCTGAAGAGCAATGTTGGTCGGCAGAATTAGCAAACTGGCAAAAATCACATTGCAGGGACGTATTGGAAAAATTGTACCCTTTGCTAAAGAAATAAACTTCAATATTTTCTCTTCTAACCAACTTAAAAGACACCAAGCTACCTAACTCATCTGGCTCAAGGGACTTGGACTGGAGGATACAGGCTAAAGTGACACTTATCAGAATCTTCCTCAAGCACTTGCTGGAAAAGAAATCAGATTGTAACTTCTTGTTGTTTAAAATTAAGCTTTAGTAAAACAAAGTGATGCAGTTAGGAAGGCAGACTCTACACATGTCAGATTGACATATCCCCACAATTTCCGGAACCTACATGTATAGCTATTTACAAAATCTCCAAGTTAATTGAGTGCACTTTAGGAAGTCGTCCTCATGAATTAGCTAGCATTAGCATAATTACCAAAGTTGCATGCTGTGAGGAGGCTACAAAGGCCAGGCTGATGTCGGAAGTAATAATACATATAGAATTCCATTCTAATAAATGCCATTAGTGTATAACATCAAGTTCTGTGTAACGAGGCTATTTCCAAGTCCCCAAAGATGGTCATTGTAACAGCACTTTGCTGAGAGGGTTTTAACAAATCGTATTAGCCAAAAAGCCTACAACATAGATGCATTTAACAAACCATGTACAAATCAATCACTATAATAAACTGTGTCATTTGATAGAGTCACCATTTTTGAATGTAGTGTTTGAATATCACAAAATATAACAAGTTTTATAAAGAATGGTTGATTTTTTTCAGGATTTAAGGGAATACAGACAAATTGTTAAATAGCATTTATTTGATAAATGGGAGTTTGTATGCAGAAAGAGTGATTGTGTACAAAAAGGGTGTTTTCAAAACCCAGAAAGAAAAGGTAGAATAGGGCTGAAGAGTCTGATAATAGGAAAAGAAAAGGACAAAAGTCCTCAACTTGTGAGCAATATGCTTTCCCCTTAAACCCTGTAATTTATTCAAATGATATTAAAATATAACACCATTGCAATGTATGCTCTTCCCCTGGCAGTTATTCCGCCCCCCCAAGCTATCCTTTTTCAGATAATATCAATATATTTCCAATCCATCAGACTGAAATCTTAGAAAATTCAAGAACTCTTTTATTATTGATATAGTGCCACCAAATTCTTTTTCTTTTTAAATCTTTCTAATTATCCCTTGTTTTTCAATCCCATTGCTAACACCCAGTACATATTTTCTGTTCAATGCAAATAAACATTCACTTTTTACCTATAGTCTTCTCTGGTCACTGGTCTGCCCTCTCAGTCCCTTTGCTATTGGAAAATAAAATCTTTCTAAAACCCTACTTTTGACCATGTTACTTCCCTGCTCAGTGGCTGTATTAGAGTTCTCCAGAGGAAAAAAAAAAAAAAAAAATAGGGGATATATATCTATCTCAGGCCATTGGATTCAGACTGGAACTTAGACCATTGGTTCTTCTGGTTCTGAGGCCTTCAGACTCAGACTAAAATGATACAACTGGCTTTCCAGGGACTCCAGTTTGTAGAAGGCAGATCATGAGACTTCTTTTCCTTCATAATTTCATGAGCCAATTCTTTATAATAAATATATTTAAATATATATTATATATTATAAATATATAGAGTGATTTATTATATATTTTAATATATATCATATAGAGATATTTATCATGTTTTTATTTATATATTTTACATATATATGATTTATTATTAGAAATTGGCTCACACAATTGTGAAAGCTGAGATGTTCCATCATCTGCAGTCTGTGAGCTGGAGACCCAAGAGAGCTGGTGGTGTAGCTCTAGTCTGAATCCAAAGGACTGAGAATTAGGAGAGCTAATGGCGAAGGTTGCAGCTTGAGGCAGGAGAAGACTAATGTCCCAGCATGAGCAACCAGGCCAAGAGAGCAAATTGTCCCTTCCTCCATCTTTGTGTTCTATTCAGGGCCTCAACAAACTGGATTATGCCCACCTACATTGGGGAGGGCAACCTGCTTTACTCTGTCCACCAATTCAAATGCTGATCTCATCCACAAACATACCCAGAAATAATGTTTTACCAGCTATCTGGGCATCCCGTGGCCCTGTCAAATTGGCACATAAAACCTATCATCACAGGAACCTATTAGTCCTCCTACCAGTTAAATCCTATGTATACAAATTTAATTTCCACTACCCTAACCATATCCTCCACTTAAGTGGGTCTCCTTGCTTTTTCTGGAACAAACCTACCCTTCTTCCTCTAGCCTTTGTTCCTGCTGCCTGCCATACTCTGGAAGTTTGTCTCTCCTCCACCACTTACCTCTGTCCTATACTTCCAACTCTGCTCACATTTTCTCTCTCCCAGCTGCCTCTAAAAACATCATCCTATGATGGTTCTATCTCAAGGGATTATCTTTTGTACTTTCAGGAAGTGCCACAGAGTACAGCATGTCCTCTAATTTCCTCTTAATTATAAATTATTTCTGCTTAATTATAAATTATAACACAGCAAAGACTAGCTCTTGTGCTTTCTTTGCATAATGACAAAAAGCCCAGTTTTTTAAAGGGGGAGAGAATATGAGTAAGTAATACGTGGAAGAAAAACAAATAAGTAATTGACAGAGAAAAGGTGCTTGACTTCACTTGTGCTCAAAGAAATACAAATCAGAACAAAAATGGAATACCACCTTATACCATCTAACTGGAAAATACTTGAAAGCAGATAATAGTACCAAGTGCTGGCAAGTATGTACACTGGATCTACTATTCTAGCAATCTTAGCAAAATTTTGGCAGCACACCTTAGAACTCAGCAGTACCATTTCAGTGTATATATGCCAGAAAATTCTTAAGGATTTCCATAAGAGGAAATCCATGAGGATATATAGCATTGTTTATAGTACAAAGGAATTGGAGGCAACTCTAATATCTACCTCTAGGAGAATGGGGAAAAAAATATGGTGTGTGGGAGTATGGTTGTATTTGTGAGATGAAGTTCTATCTAGCAGTTAGAAGTAATGAATTAGATTTACATAAAGCAACAAGGATAGATATTTTTAAAATACTAGTATAGTTTTTTTAAAAGAAAAAAGAATGAAATCTTCAGTTATACCATGCATGTATATTTCTATAAAGCTTGTCTGATAAAGACCACCAGGAACAAAACTATAGTATGATACAATAAAGCCAAGTTTATTAACATGATGCAACAAGGGACATTATTCAACAGAGAAAATCTGAGTGGCCCACCAAACACAGAAAAAGACAAGGTTACTATAGGATATTGGGGAAGGGGAGAGGTTAAGTGGAGTTTAAATGAAGTGATATTTTGATAGGCTGTAATTAAAGCAAGACAGTATTTAACATCAGGCTTGAGCTAAGAAGCAAATGCAGGGCCCTGTTTCCTTGAAATGGAACGTTGTGTCCAAAACTCTCTTATTTGAAGTTGTGTACCTGGATGCTTTTCTGTGTCAAAATAACTCAGACCCTCCAGGCAAAAATGGAATGTTTCAGTCTTACTGATAAGATTTCAAACAGCACTGGGTGAGGTGGCTCACACCTGTAATCCCAGCACTTTGGGAAGTTGAGGCGGGTAGATCACCTGAGGTCAGGAGTTTGAGACTAGCCTAGCAAACATGGTGAAACCCTGCCTCTACTAAAAATACAAAAATTAGCTGGGTATGGTGGTGGGCGCCTGTAGTCCCAGCTACTTGGGAGGCTGAACCCGGGAGGTGGAGGTTGCAGTGAGCCAAGATCTTGCCACTGCACTCCAGCCTGGGCGATACAGTGAGACTCCATCAAAACAAACAAACAAACAAACAAACAAACAAAAAAACAGCTATTTTAAAACGAAATGTTTTTCTTAATAATAAGTAAGTAGACAGGAAGCAATTATCAAACATACACACATGCACACACACAAAGTTGAGGCAAAAGAAGTCCCCCATGCTAAGTGTATTAGTCCATTTTCATGCTGCTGATAAAGACATACCCGAGACTAGAAAGAAAAAGAGATTTAATGGACTTACAATTCCGCATGGCTGGGGAGGCCTCACAATCACCGCAGAAGGCAAGGAGGAGCAAGTCACATTTTACATGGATGGCAGCAGGCAAAGAGAGAGCTTGTGCAGAGAAACTCCCGTTTTTAAAACCATCAGATCTCCTGAGACTTACTATCATAAGAACAGCATGAAAAAACCCACCCCGTGATTCAATCACCTCCAACCAGGTTCCTGTCATGATATGTGGGAATTGTGGGAGTTACAATTCAAAATGAGATTTGGATGGGGACACAGCCAAACCATATCACTAAGGTTTAGACAGGCTCAAAATAAAAATAACTAGGACTTATACAGCATTTACTGTGTACTATATACTGCTCTAATTGTTGTACCTCTATTAGCTCACTTAATCTTCATAATAGCCCCATAAGGTAATTATTATTTTTATCATCCTCATCATTTTTCCAATGAGGAAAATGAGGCATCTCTTTCCCTAGGCACTGTGAATGCAAAGATTTCCCATGTCCGGATATTGGAAAGGGCTCACCACACTCCACAGAGCATACTCATACACATGTGGAGCTTTTATGTAAAGGCCA